GCCCGCGCTGCTGCTGGGCGAGGACACCGCGGGGGACTTCGGGGGCGACCCCGAGGGGGACCCCGAGCAGGATCTTAACGCGACGTTCCCCGAATTCTTGGACGTGGCGGTTGGCGGCACCTTCGACCGGCTGCACGGCGCCCACCGGCTCCTGCTCAGCGCCTGCTGCCTCCTGGCCCGGCGGCGGCTCCTGGCCGGGGTGGCCGACGGAGACCTGCTCCGCCGTGAGTCCGGGGCGGCCGTGGCACTGCGCGGGGACCAGGGGTGAGCCCGGTGCTCCCCGGGGCAGGGCAGTGGTTTGAGGGCCCAGTGACAAGTGAAGTCCTGGCAGTCACCCACCCAAGGTGGTGCCAGCCAGGCAGAGCGTCAGTGGGGACCCAGTGGGGACCTGGTGTCCTGCCCACAACCGGCAAGGTGTACAGGGACAGCGGGGGCGAGGGGAGGGGGAGGCAGCGTTCAAAGTCCCAGCCGGTTGTTTTCTCCCATCTCTTGGTCTTGGTCATTTCTGTCACTCTTGTGCTTCTCCGCCCTCCTGGCACCCGGCAGACAAAGTCCTGCCGGAGCTGATCGAGCCGTACGAGCTGCGGGCGGCGAAGCTGCGCGAGTTCTTGGAGGACGTGAAGCCCTCACTGTGCTACGACATCGTGCCTCTGGCCGACCCCTTTGGGCCCTCAGTCACAGACCCCGACCTGCAGTGCCTGGTGGTCAGCGAGGAGACCCGCCGGGGAGGGGAGGCTGTCAACAGGAAGAGACTTGAAAATGTAATTCCCACACTGGAGCTCGTTGGGCTACCCCTGCCTACCCTCTCACCCTGCTGATTTACCCTGGGGGCAAATTTGGTCTCGATTCACCCCTTCCCTCTGCTGCATCCTCATGGCTAAGGGCCCTCAGGGCTCCCTTCTCTCATCAGGGGCTCACTGAGCTGGCTCTCCATGAAATCCAGTTGATGAAGGACCCTGACCACAGCCAGAACGAGGAGGAGAAGATCAGCTCCTCCAGCCTCCGGCAGAGGCTGCTGGGGACGCTGCTGCAGCCCCCACGGGTGAGGGGGCCTGCAGAGCCACAGCTGCAATGGGAGTGCTGGGGAGGAGGGGTGGGAGTCTCAGGAGCTGAAGAGTTTGGAAAGGCTGCCTGCTTCTCTGCAGGCCAGGGCCTTTCATGGCCATCTCCAGGCCGGAGTGTCAGGATCCTTCCATAGCAAAGCCCAGTCTGCTGCCATGGCTTTCCTCTTTCCCTTAGCAAGACCCAGCTCTGCCGTTGCGCCCGTACGTGATTGGCCTGACTGGGGGAACTGGGAGTGGGAAAACCTCCATTGCCAGACTCCTGGGGCACCTGGGCGCGTTCGTCATCGACGCTGACAAGCTGGGCCACGCCGTCTATGTCCCCGGTGGCCCGGCCTACGAGGCAGTGGTGGCAGCCTTTGGGGCAGGTAGAGTCACTGGAGGCTGCAGGGAGGAGGAAGGGCAGGGAGGGGTGTCCCAGGAACCCAGAGAGCCCCGGCCTGTGCCCCTCTCCCACCCCATGAGTTTTGGGCTCCCCAAGTGTTGTGTGTCCCGTGTCAGAGCTGCTGCTGCTGGGGAACAATGAACCAAGGCTGCTGTTTGCCTGGAAAAAGCTTTTCCCTGTCCTTTTCAGGAATCAGGTGAAGAGCTGCCATGTTAGGTGTTACAGCCCTTTTCTGTGGGCTGTTGAGAGCCTTTTGCCAAAGCCCTTTCCTCAGTCCAGGCTTGCCACAGGGATGGGAGTTGTCCTTCCCAAACCTGTCTTGCTTCTGCCTTGCAGAGATCCTGAACAAAGATGGAACGATTAACAGGAAAGTCCTTGGAGCCAAAGTGTTTGGAAACCAGGTAAAAGCAGGTTTATTTTAAATACTTAATGCTGTGAGTGGGGGCCGTTCTTCTCTTGTGCCAAGGGTTCTTAGTTTTAAGCCCTTTGAGATGGTGACACCTTCCTGGCTGTGTTTCTTGGCAGTGGCATGGGGACAGAGTGGGACAGGTCACGTCTCTGCAGCTGAATCAGCAGCTGTGCTGGATACACTGCTCTTGCCCTGCAGCTGCTGCTGCCTCCCTGTTCTCATCCCTGTCCCCGCTGCCATTCCCATCTCCTCTATACCATGCTTTTCCTTCACCCAGCTCAGAGCAACAGCCCTGACACACACAGCCAGTGGTCTCTGTCTCTTGGGGGCTCAGTGGCCTTTACAGATGCTCAGCCTATTGCTCTGCTGCTGCCCCAGGTCAAGGTGGAGGCAGCTCAAGAGGTTCCCTGGATGGACATGTCTCTTGTGGGACCTGCTGCACAGGGAGACTGCTGTGCTGTGGAGTAAAGACTGAGATCTCTGCTAATAGCAGGGCCCTAATGGCAGGACAAGAAAAACAACAGGGAAAATCACCCTGACCCTGGCAGCAGGAATGGGAGCCTCTGGCCAGTGAGAAAGCTTTCCTTCCTGATGCTTGGCGATGGGCTGGACCCACCTCCCCGGCTTCAGTCTTTCCTGAGTGTCCCCTGACTGCTTACACCCTCCCTCTTCTGGCTGGCTACACAGGGGTTCTGGGAGCAAGGGACTGAATCTCAAATCCCACTGTGGTCCTTTCCAGGAGCGGCTGAAGAGCCTGACAGACATTGTGTGGCCCGAAATAGCCCAGATGGCAAAGGAGAAAGTCAGAGAGGCTGATGCTCAAGGTAACCGGCTCTGTGGCAGCCTCAGCTCAGCAGTGAAGTGCCTGCACTGCAGGAAGGTGGGACTGAGCCCAGGCTGGTGCCATCCACGGCCAGGCACTGAGGAATGCCCTTGTTCCATAGGGAAGGCCGTGTGTGTGCTGGACGCTGCTGTGCTGCTGGAGGCCAGCTGGCAGGACATGGTCCACGAGGTGTGGACAGCCATCATCCCAGAGGAGGAGGTGGGCCCTGCCCTGGACCCCTCCCTTGCTGCTGGGGCTGATCCTCAGCTTCCCCCCGAGCACACGAGTGTCCCCTGTGTCCCTGCCAGGCCGTGAGGCGCATTGTGGCCAGGGATGGGCTGACCGAGGAGGCTGCTCGCCGCCGGCTGCAGAGCCAGATGAGCAACAGGCAGCGGGTAGAGCAGTCACAGGTGGTGCTCTGCACCCTCTGGGAGCCGGACATCACCCGCCAGCAGGTGAGCCTGGGGCTGCTGCAGCACCGGGGCCGTTCTGGGTGATTGTGGCAGGAACTGAAGGGCTCGGTGCTGTGCTCAGGCCGTGCCTGCTGTGCCTGTGTGCGCTGCCACGAGGGGTGGATCTGGGGGTGTAAATTCAGCCGGGAAGGAAGAGCTGTGGGACTGGTGTGACGCTCCTGCCAGCTCAGCCGTGGGCTGTGAGGTGTCACCGCGGATCTGTGGCAGGTGCACAAGGCCTGGGACCTGCTGCAGCAGCGCCTGAGCCCGGAGCCCGGCCCGTGAGGGA